AATCCATCCAAAAGATGAAGCCTGATGGTAAAATTTTGCAGTCATATTTCATGATCAAAATCAGAATATCAATTGATCTTCAATTGGTCTGATTTTCTTGAATGTGATCATGTAATCGTCAGTTCTCTATAAATAACGAATAACATAATTGACTGCTTTCCAAATATCCATCTTAGAGTTACTTAAATATATCTACCTAGCATTCAAACAATGAATGTCATATCCAAATATATGTAAATTTTAGCATACATTAAACTCCCAACTGCTGAAACTCGAGAAATTTTCTGTATTTTCCTTTCTTTAAGTGTATTCTTGGGGCATTAATTGAGACTAAACTTGTCTCCTTTAGTAATAAGAATATCACATAATTTACTATCCTGCATCCATCTCTTAAGAACCTTTTCCATATAACTCTTTTATAATAATCTAAAAAATACTCCGAGACTGATCCTAGAGAATTGGTATCCTTAATACGAAAGATGTGTCACCAAGATCTTTGATTTCAAGATTTCATGACAAACATCAACTATATTTATCTTAAAATCAAATGAGATAATTATTTGATGAAATTTGTGGTATAATTGGCGGAAAGCCTACATAAGTCCATAGATGGATTTCCTTAATTTGTAAACTATCTGAAATAGTTTAAGATCAAAATGTGTTACACGTGTCATAATAGTCCTAAAAGAGTTTCGTAGAAATCAGAGAGAACGTCTCTTTAAAGTCAATGTCTTTCTTTTGACTAAAGCCATTTACAATAAAACGAGCATTATATCTCTCCACATCACCCATCGAATCCCTCTTGATTTTAAATATTCATTTACAACCAATGAGATTCGCACTTTCTGGCAATGTGATGAGTTCCCAAACATCATTGTTACTCATTTTATCTCTTTATTCATGGAATCAATCTATTGTTAATAATTATTACTTTACATTGCTTGATAAAAGTTGATTGATCAGATCTTCTTTCACCAATGCAATACCATCCTTATTTTCTTGAAAAATACTATAAAATTATCTGAATTGTCTTTCTCTTTTCTTTAGTGGATCTCCTTAATGTCATTTGTTTTCTTGAAATTGTTGAGTTTGTTTTTCTAAAACAATCTTTTGATCGTGTCTAGGATTTTTGTAATATTGTCTTGATTTGAAATTATTTCTTGAACAAGATCTGGAGCAAAAATTTATCCCTAGTCCTAATCATTGTCAATTACAATAAAATAAATATATATTTTTCCTCGAACATAAAATATTTAACCTTATCTCCCTTGCAAACTCTACATCCTTAGAGAATTGGACATTTTCCATTTTGAAAATTAACCTGATAGTGGGATCTTAAAATTTGTAACCCATTGACCTTTCAAAATATCCAATAAATAGCAACTAACAAAGCTCATAAGGGGTTTTGATAGTTATTTTACTTGGAACTTTATTGAGAATTTAAGTTACATTCTTTATTGTTTTTTCCTATAGATATTGTAGGTGTATTGTAGGATTACTTCACATTCCTCTAGGAATTTAGCAAAGACCCTGGACATTGTTCTCCTGATCCATCATATCTTCCATGGTATTCACCACTACTATCAGATCTGACTTGTTTTATTCTTTTGTTGAGTTGATTTTCAACTTCAGCCTTAAAAGCCTTGAACATGTCCAATGATTGCAATTTCTGATGAATGAAATACAGGGAGTCATAGCAAGAATAATCGTCCATGAATGTAATATGTGATTGTTGACCACTCCAAGAGACTGAAGGTAATGGTCTATAGATATCCGTATAAATTAGTTCTAAGACGTCCAGGTCCAATTGGCACCTTCCCTTAATCGGATGAACACAAACATGAAAGTCACTAAAATTAGGAGATCAAGAATTCCTTCAAACACAAGCCATTCATTTCTCCTTTGAGAGATGTGACCCTATCGCTTTTGCCATAATGAAGCGAAATAAAAGTTATCATAACCAAATAAAAAAATCGTTACCCACAATATTTGATTTAAGAAAAAAGATCAAACAGACTATTTTCAGTAGAACAAGAGTAACTAAAAATTTGTCCAATGTAGAAATAGAAACCAAATTTCGTCTAAAAGACGGTACTTCAAATATTTCTTTTATATTCAAATAATAACCAATCTTTAATAATAACCTAAAAATCCATATAGTTTCAACTTTAATTAATTTGTCATCGTCCCCACGTAGATGAATCTTTCAGTATCTATTGACTTTGGGTTATTCAGGCAACCCCATATAGACATACTTATTTGAATAATGGTACCGAAATTTATCCAATAAGTTTGTCTAGGTAATGAAATGAAATTAATCTCAGAACAGACCAAAATGAGAAATATACTTCACACGCCAAGCGTGTATTTTGTACAATCTCTCTTCATGTGTTTTTAAAATTTTCACAAAAGTAACGGTTAAATGATTTATCATTTTCAAGCTTTTACTGTTTCTTTTAAACTGAACTGAATGCAGCTTTCTTATTCTTTACCATGTCCTTAGAGATACTTGCCAAGTGAGTAATTTCATTTTTTTTTTCTTACTTTAGCCTTTCTTTTTCTTGTACACAATATGTAATGAGCTCATTAAGAGCCCAGTTCCCCTTTTGACAGTTGTAACTAACTAACCTTAACTTGATGAATTGTACAAGAGGAAAAGTCAAAACCAAATGGGCAAGTCATAAGTTTTATTTACCCTTATGCTTTTGTGAAACTAAGTTCGACAAAAGACATGCTAGTTTCGGCCTTATTACCTTTTGAAAAGCCTTTTTTTCAATTTCCTCAAGAAACTCATTGGCAGTAGTTATCTTAGTGTCCTTGAATATTACTGAAATTCCACAGTTCATGCTCCTGTGATTTAAATGACCCCACTTATCCAAAAGGTCCATTTTTTATCAATGGAACTCTTATCCATAAGAACAATGGGTTGTTCGGTCCTTGATGTAATATCTAGATCCATGCAGCCAGAAAGATATGAACGTTCCTTTCTAGTCCTTAAAATTTGGTTCCTTTACCATAAGAATTGAATTGATTAGTTTGCAGATATTGTAGAAGTGGAGGGATTAACCGAATAGAGAGCTTAAACCTAAATAACATTTTTACATGAAAATTCTTATTGGACAATCATAATTTCAAATATGGTGAGCTTCATCACAAGAGACCGAACACGACACCGATAGTTAGTTTTTGAACAAAAATATCAACTTGCAAGTGGTATTCTTCATATAGTAAAACATTGATAATAAATTCGATCAAACATCAATTATATATTTGGACTAACACAATGTTCACATAATAAAAAACTTTATAGTTATCGCATATTTATTACCACAAATGTGCAAATAATTACGTACACACAACCTTTATAATATTCCAAATAAATCAATTTAGAGAAGAGATTTTACTTTGATAACATGTTGCTTCAGTTAATTTATTTCAAAAAATTAGAAATCCAAAAAACAACTTTAATAACAAGATTTGAATTTGATTATCCTTCATTATATTTTACTTTTATTTTTCTTTCTTTTGTTTTAATAACTAAAACAATACACACACACACACACACACACACACACACACACACACACACACACACATATATATTGGCATTGCAATGTCCTAACATAGGCGCACGAAGAAATCGAGCATTGCTTGCACTATGGCCTATCGTAATGCAGGGTCGCAATGGCTCATTTGGGCGATGCAGTGCTGCTATAATGTTGTCAAAATTATCTTAAGTAAAAAATTCTCATATCTAGAGTTTGAAATTCACATCCCAAAATTCTGTAAAATCAAAGTATGAATTCCAACCCAAAAGATTTTCCTTTAACCTCAATGGTTTAACATGGATTGACTTTGAAACCACTCGTTGAAACTTTAAAATTAGAAGCTTTAGAACTTGAAAAACCTAAATTCCTTTATTGTCAAGATTGTCTATGTCAAATCACAAAGAAAATTAATAATACGGAACATACCTTAATTTTTTTTTGGAATGATTATTTATTACTGAATCTTGATTTCAGATCTTGAATCTTGAAGATCAATTACAATCTTTTCGTGTTTAGCTTCTTAATCTTTAATTTTGAATATTGCCACTTTGATTCTTGAATTTGGTTTCTTGTTGCATAATCTTGATTGCTCCAATATCTTCTTTTTGATTGTGAGTTTTAAATCTTCATCTTCAATATGTTTTCTCTATTAATTCTTGTATCAATGGATGACACAACGAATGAAAAATTGCATATGTTGGGGACCATAACCCTATATACAGTTTTCATATGTATTTCGCCCATCATAAAATATAATTCTAAAGAATTTTTTATCTACACATATAATCCAATCTACACTTTATTTAGATACCTAAATCCAACAATTTAATTCTTTATTAGGTCACTTTAATTTTGGAATTAACTATAGTCTTATACACAATCAATTGCATATATGAGTCCACGTGACAATTTAATAATTTTTCCCTATACCTACTTCTCAATGAAATTTCATATTTTACTCATTAAATTTCATTTTGTTTGAAGTTGCGATTAAACTTAAAAGCTTTTTATGATTTAAACATATCCATTAGTTTGACTAACGAAAAATGTGAAATGACATAATTTTATCAATTAAGGCCTCAAATAGACTACCATATCAACTTTTCGTTAGTTTTAACTGATATAAATGGAACAACAATCTCTTTGTAAACCCATAAAAAGATCTCAACCTCACCCACCCACTCCACCCTACCCCCCACCCCCACAACAATAAGGCTCAATCTCCATTGAATGATAGAAGCAAGGTGCATGTAACCACGACTTGATGAAAACCCCAAAAGATCCTCCCCATGTTAAATTCTGTGTGTTAATTGGCCCAATATCTTAAAATCCCAAAATGAAAATCAACCTCACAATATTCTCTCCAAAAAATCCTTCAAGGATTCCTCTCCTCCACAAAACCCTTAAGGGCCCTCTCTTTTTCTCTCTTTTCATTGCCAAAGCCTGATAATAAAACCACACAATTTGGAATCCAATATCAAGAAAAGACACGCACACTTGTCTCTTACCATACAAAACAATACACACTCTCTGTATCAGTACGTGTAAACTAACATTCCATTCATTTACTTTGCTTCCCTCCCACAAATTCAACAAACCTTCAGTCCTCAATCACCATAGAAAAATATTGGGAATAGAGTGTTTATGTGTTTCTGTGTGTCTGTGTTTTTTCATTCATGCAAAAAGAATCCATGAAAATGAGTACTCTCCACAACTCCAGCGAGTCCGAACTAGAATACAAGAAAGTTCATATCCCAGAGAAGCCATTTTCAATTGACGAAACAAAGAGCAAATCTGAAGAAAACCAATCCAATGAAACAGAAACAACACCTCCACAAGATTCTTCGCGAATGTCGATAAAGTTGGAGGATAAATGTACTGAGCCAGTGGTAGAGGACAGTGGACGTGAGCGACTGAAGAGACATCGTGTTGAGGTTGCAGGTCGGGTTTGGATCCCGGATATGTGGGGACAGGAAGATTTGCTCAAGGATTGGATAGACTGCACTGCGTTTGATGCCTCATTGATGAATAACAATATCATGTCTGCAAGAGCTTCTTTGGCTGAAGAAGGAAGAAGAACAAACTCAAGCAGATTGAGAATAGAGAATAGCTGTTGAGCAATTACTTTTAATGAGTTTCGACCATAATTTGCGTATCCATATCATTAAAATAACAATTCTTAAGAGAATAATTAGCCAATTCTTTAACGGATTTGCTACATCTATTTGATACATAATGTTGCATAATATGATTGATTTTTTACTATTTTTATTGGCTGCCTAACCACAAAAATTGATACCTGGTTACCCATATAATAGATAGTGATTTATACTTTTTTTTTTCTTCTTCTTATTTTCTCCACTTTCTTGTCTGCAGTTGGCTAGTAAGGTACATATTTAGTTCGTATTTGGTAGAAATTAAAATTCAGATTTTAATTTCAATCAAAATCAACAATTATTTTTAATTACATATCTAAAATGACCCATAACTTTTCAACCACACATTTGATCAATTTTTACTAAAATCTACTAGAAAAATGATTTTAATTACCACCAAACAAGGGCTTAGTGCTTCGAATAGACAAGATTGAACAAGATAGAAGATGTAAATACTCCGTGAAATAGAATGAACTTGAAGCATTGGATCACAATGCTAAGGTTCGTTGCATTATTAGCAAAGGTACATCCATATATACAGAAGTAGAGTGAAGAGTGTGGGTATATCAAACCTCGATATCTTATTGTGAAATTGTGCATATATTATACAGATTTCCACTATGAATTTTGCTTAAACGGCCGAAAATTACAAGGATGTGTATTTCTACAATACAGCAAAATAATTCACAAAAATGTCGGCGTATTACTGAGTGAAGCTATAATGGTAGCTTCTCATTTCCAGAAGAGGAAGTAAGTTGCCATATCTTGACTGTTCCATCATCACTTGCAGAGGCAAGAAGCGTGTTTTCCTGTCAGATAACAACAAATTCAGCAGACATGAAGCGCACAAACATCAAAATTCCACAATGCTGAATAACTCATTCGACAGGCATCAAGTGAGGTAACTGGTGAATGCCAATAAAAGTTAGAAATAAAGCGAAGTAACTTCATCATTCCATTAATTAGTACAGGTCAATCAACTCAGAAGTAACCGACAATGCATGGTGTAATTTATTAACAAGTCTAATGCCTCGATCTGAATGTTCTGACTATATATAGATGCTGATGAAAGATTATACAAGGATAACTAGCAGTGCATATCAGGAGGACGGCACCTATATAGCTGCTTTTCCAGGGCTATCTGGGCTGTTTTGACAAACCTTTATTTTCTAGTCCTATTGTTCGGAGAGAATGAAATAAACAATTGGCAAAAGTAATTCTTTGGGTTTAGAAGATGAAACTTCTGGCTATCAATGGGTATGCAAGTCCAAAAATACCCTGATAAAGATTATTTCAGGATGTGATCTCTCTCTATATCTCATCTTGTAGGGAATTTACTTAAACATGCACAGCGAAATTTAACAAATTTCAATTCTCATTCAGGATTCAGCTTTGTATTTAGATAAAAACTGTGATAAGAAATATACATTTTCTTGTAATTTGCAAACTCCTTCGCGTTATTCCTTTCCAGCAACTTGAATCTGCCTCCCACAGCTGTCCAATTGTCCAGCCTCCAATGAAATTCACACAGAGAATAGACTGCAACTGCTAGGGTTTCTCTCTTGTGCCAGCAAGAATAATGAAAACCCTTATGGACCTCAAACCCTAACTATGTATATATATATAAACCCAAACGGACCCGGTCCGGTCCGATCCAATATTTAATTAATCCAATTAATTAAACCCGGTCCGTGAATTAATTAATCCAATTAATTAATTCGAGAATATAAATAACAAATTCAATTAATTAATTTATCCAACGATTGTTAGATTAACCAATTGGCAATTTGCAATCTTCCAATTCTCTTTTGTGTGCGACCCATTAAATTCCCGACCACGATGCCTAACGTCGTGAAATATTATTTTTGATCTAATCAAAATTGATAAATTAATACACCCTTTTATCGTCAATTCACACTCGCCGTCCCTGATTGACATCTAGCAATGTGTCAGGGCAATACATGTGACGAAAAACGTCACGTGGTATGACAAAACCAAATTTGTTCGTTTACCGTGAAACTATTATCCCTTCGTCAATACGATCCGATCAATTACGAGATATGGAATTGTGTTAATCTCGATCATTGATTATATCTTTCACTCCACTATTAAGTCAATATAAATCGAAAACTCCTTTTCGACTTATGAGTACACATTGGCCAAAGATTTCATTATCGACTTAATTGAATGAAACGCAGATCATCTCCTACTATCTAAGAGTGACGAATCCTTTATTGATCAATCACAACCTTCATACGATTCTTGACGTACCCGAACGATGTCGTATTAGCGGCCCATTTCAGAGCAACATCCAACACCGTCAAAGTATGATTGTCCTCATATAAGGTACCATGACGACCTCAAGTCAAAGGACCAATTCCACTACCGAACGTTAGAGATTAGCCACTGACACTCAGATAGTTATCCATGTGGAATCTCTTAGCGGGTCTCCAATGTTTTATTCTATAACAAAACATCCACGTGTTCATTTAAGTGTCACCAAACTTTAGCTCGTGAGATCAGTTACTTACTTCACAAGTAAGAAATGCCACACGTGATGATCTAACTGTATTAACGATATCCGTATCTCGTTATTACTTACGACCATGATTTATTCAAGATCCAATTATATGTAATTTGTATCTCACAATCACAACTCCTTGTGATTAACAGATTACCTAAAAATTGAATTTTCGAATTCTATTATTTAATATTATTTATCACAAAATTAATTTAAATAAATAATAGATCTCGCCAAAATCAAATGCATTAAATGTATTAAAAGCGTTTACAACTTAAATCGATTGGATTTAGGGCATAACACTTACAAACTCCCACTTGCACTAGATCCAATCACTCACGTATCTAATACCATAAGCATCCACATAACGATCATGTTTCTGTTGTGACAACGGCTTTGTCAGTGGATCTGCAATATTATCATCTGTGGAAACTCGCTCTATCGTTACGTCATTCCTTTGTATAATCTCCCTGATGAGATGATATCGCCTTAGCACATGTTTGGATCGTTGATGAGACCTCAGTTCCTTCGCTTGCACGATGGCTCCATTGTTATCACAATACAAAGGTATGGGATCAACAATACTAGGAATGACTCCAAGTTCATTAATGAACTTCTTGATCCACACAGCTTCCTTTGCTGCTTTAGAAACAGCTATGTACTCGACTTATGTTATTGAATCAGCGGTTGTTTCCTATTTGGAACTTTTCCAACTAACCGCTTCATTGTTGAGAGTAAACATATATCCTGACTGAGACTTGCTATCATCTTTATCAGTTTGAAAACTAGCATTAGTATACCCCTGAATTTTCAGTTCATTTCCTCCATAGATCAAGAACACATCTTTAGTCCTTCTCAAGTATTTAAAAATGTTTTTAACCGCTATCCAGTATTTCTCACCAGGGTTTGCTTGAAATCTGCTCGTAACACTTAGAGCATACGAAACATCTGGTCTTGTACATAGCATCGCATACATGATAGATCCTATCGCCGAAGCATAAGGAATCTTGTCCATGCGATTCCTTTCATCATGTGTTTTAGGACACATATGTCTTGAGAGGTAAATCGCATGTGACATGGGACATAATCCTCTTTTAGACTCTTCCATATTAAATCTTCTCAAGATTTTATCTATGTACGAAGATTGAGATAAGTCTAGTAATCTTTTAGATCTATCTCTGTAGATCTTGATTCCCAAGATATACGCTGCTTCTCCCATATCTTTCATGGAGAAATTCTTTGACAACCATAATTTTACCGATTGAAGCATTGGGATGTCATTTCCCATTAATAATATGTCATCGACATATAATATCAGGAATACAACTGTGCTCCCACTTGTTTTCTTATAAACACACGGTTCATCTTCATTTTTGATAAAATCAAACATTTTGATTGTTTCATCAAAACGAAGATTCCAGCTTCTAGAGGCTTGCTTTAATCCATAAATGGATCGATTTAGCTTGCATACTTTGTTGGCTCCTTTGGATTCAAAACCTTCAAGCTGTGTCATGTACACCTCCTCTTGCAGGTTTCCATTAAGGAAAACAGTTTTGACATCCATTTGCCATATCTCATAATCATGGTATGCAGCTATTGCAAGCAAAATCCGAATGGACTTCAGCATGGCTACAGGTGAAAAAGTTTCATCAAAGTCAATACCTTGTCTTTGTGTGTAACCCTTCGCTACTAGCCTTGCTTTGTATGTGTGGACGTTTCCATCCACATCGACCTTTTTCTTGTAAACCCATTTACAACCTATCGGTTTTATCCCACCTAGAAGGTCGACCAAGGTCCAAACCTTGTTCTCATACATTGAGTCCATTTCGGATTCCATGGCATCTTGCCATCTCTTCAAATCAACACTTGACTTTGCTTCTGCGTAATTTGTAGGTTCATCATCCTCGATTAATAATACTTGATTAGTAATCGTGAATTCGTACCTTCTGGGAGGTCGAATGATCCTGCTTGATTTACGCTGAGCTGGAGTGTCCTCAGGGTTCTCTACATCCCGATCAAGAGTTTGTCCATCAATAGATGTAGGATCAGATTCAAGTTCATCTAATTGGTCAATAGTGTTCGTGGATTCTTGAACTTCTTCAAGTTCTAGTTTGCTCCCACTACCCTCTCCTAGAGTAAACTCTTTCTCTAGGAATATGGCATGCCTTGAGATGAACACTTTCTTCTCAACGGGATTATAGAATTGATATCCAATTGTCTCTTTTGGATATCCCACAAATACACATTTGTCAGATTTAGCTTCAAACTTATTTGATTCATTTCGCTTTACATAAGCGTCACAGCCCCAAACTTTCATATGAGATAAGTTTGGTCTTTTTCCTCTCCATAGCTCGCATGGAGTTTTGTCGACCGATTTAGATGGGACACGATTAAGTGTGTAGCACGCAACAATTAGTGCATGACCCCAAAATGATTTTGGGATATTTGCATGGCTCATCATAGATCGCACCATGTCTAACAAAGTGCGATTCCTCCGTTCAGATACACCATTATGTTGTGATGTATATGGCGGAGTCCACTGCGAGAGAATCCCGTTCTCTTTAAGATAATTTAAAAATTCTCCCTTTAAATAT